TATATCCAATTCTGTATAACTGGCTTTATATTATTATTAAATTTTTTTATAATATAAAGCCAGCTATGCAGAATTGGATATAGCTGTGCCACACTATACAGTGTTCTGGTCTGGAGTCTGGACATGTGCTCATCTATTTTCCCTACTAGGGGGATACAAGCCTTAGTTAGCAATATCTACATAGTTATTTCTTTATTTAATGTCTTTTATTTTTTATATGATAAATTTTATCATATAAAAAAAAGACATTGAATAATGAAATTAACTGAATATTTAGATCATGCCATTGCTAACTAAGGCTTGTATCCCCCTAGTGGGGAAAATAGATGAGCACATGTCCAGATTCCAGACCAGAACACTGTATAGTGTGGCATCACCCTTTGGTGATGTCAGGGGCTGCAGTTGGGGTCCCTATATCTTGTAAGCTGACAACCACTCCCTTATAATGTCCAATAAGCAGGTGCTATTATTTAATAAAACATGGAGACATTTTACTTTTGTGAGCCTGCTTAATTCTGTATGGAAAAAAAAAGGTGAGCAGATTGTAAATAATGCAGCTAATGTAGAATCTCATTGAGTTTTCCTGCTCATAGTTACATTGTCAGCCTCTCATTTTTCATTTGACATCTTCCCAACAGTGCAGTATTTCTAGTGTGAAAATGATAAACAATGCACCCCTACAGCACTACAACAAGAACAATAAAGATTTTAAGTATGAGACCCCATTCTCAACAATGGCCATGGTTTGTTTTTTTAAATATTAGCCAATAAACCAATATGTGGTGCCCGCATTAATTCTGTAGAATGCATCATGTTACCTTTACCTGTCACTTAGCAGCGCTATTCATAAATGTCCTCCATTGCCTTTCAATACCCTTGGATGTTTACCATCTGGACTGGCTGCCTTTCTTTATTTTGTCATTTGTTTCATATAGTATACAAGTGACTAATATTTCATTCTAATGTAGGTGACCCCTTTTCTACAGAACCTTTCAATAGACACAAGATTAATTATTCGCAAGTCTACTTGAAAACAAATGCCCTATTTGGCCTTCAGGCTTGTTATTTCTTCTTTCATTAATGAGGAGTTTTAGCCCCCTGTACTTTGTCCTCCAATCTTACCGGTTTTGTAGGGTTAGCTTCAAAAAGCATACTCACCTGTCGATCGAAACTGGTGTTGCCGTGCTGCGATCCCCTGCTATACCAGCCAGGTCCACCATCTTTCTTTCTGACATCATTAGGAACTGACTGTCTTACAGGTTCTTGCAGCCCTTCCCCGATGATGGGCTGCCAGTCCCGCCTTTGGGCCACTGTGTGTCCCTGTTCCTACAACCCCTTTGGATATAGCATGAAGATATTCCAAAAGGCTTTAGAAGGGGCGCATCATTCTTGCCTAGGCAAGAATAGAGGCAGAGGGTGGACCAGAGTAAAAAAATAACATGTAATCAACAAATAAATAAATAAATAAATAATGGGCTTTTTAAGTAGCAGAGGGGAGGATTGCAGTGGGTGAATAGTCAGTTTTTGGAGTCAAGGTCTGCTTTAAGTATATGTAAACCCTAACAACGAACTTCTCTTATTTGCTCTCATTTGGATTGTTAAAAATACCATTGAAAGCGTTTTGATATATCTGTTCAACAAGGGCAAACAAAATACCTGGTAATAATGTCAGAAATTCACAGCTGTCTTGTCTTGTACTCACTTCCCCTGGTATATCAAGGAGTTAAATTAACTAGTCCTACTTATTATCTTGGGACTACAGATAGATTAGTCTTTATGTTGTAAATAATAGGATAGACGTGGGTTTGAGTAGAATAGCAAAAAAAAAAACTCGGCAGGGCTGACACCACTCAGCCACAAAAATGCTGCGTGTTGTCCACAAGGAGCAAACTAAATACCCTCTTAGTTGTCACTGGAACAAGTGTCCCCTTTGGAAGATTTCCCCTCTATTACTGTTCTGGTGATAACTTACTATTTTGGACTTTTTCTAGTTTTAAGTGACAGCGGTTACAAGGATAAATAAATGAAAAAACTGGATGAGGGATCACCCAGGGGATGCAGGTTTTATGAAATATTGCTTCCTGTGAAGCTAAATTGAGAAAAATCTGGATGAACCTTCTGAGATGAATCTGGAAGGCAGAAGTCTGTATAGGCTGCGACAGAGCTCTGATCCCATATTTTACATGTATAGTAACAATGTAAGATGTTTCTGCATAATCTGTTACATTTTTAACTCTGTTGTGGAGCCACCTAAGGGAATGCACATGTTTACATAGATTTTTAGTCCACATTACAATGTAAAACTACCAAACCAAATATTCCACTCTACAAACCAAAGATTTGTTTGGCATTAGCAGGCTTCTCACTAATAAAAAATATACTTCTATTGATTTGACTCACCCTGGAGGAATTGAAGCTCTGCTACTTGTCCCACTTGTTCTCTGGACTCCCGGTCTGTTCAGGTTGTTTTGTCCTGGGTATGGGGCTGACCCTGGTACACTCTGACTTCGGGAAAATCCTGAGCTATTTCGGATTCCTCCTGCAGGACGGCCACCTTCCCCTGTTCTGCCCCATCCGGCACCTCCACCACTGTATGTATTGCTTTGCCTTATCCCAGGGGGGTGTATGGGAGGGGGTGGTGGAGGTGGCAAGTTGGGTGGGGGTCCAGAGGTAACCTTAATCTTCTGGGAGGCTAGGATAGCATTGGAGGCAGCTCTAGTACTGTTTACTAAGAGACACTGCGGACAGGAGCAGGGTAACCCAGAGCCAGATCCAACTGGCCATGACTGAGACTTGGGTATAGATCCCATAGTAAGGGGATATGCCAAATCCATGCGCCTTCTAAGCCGCCGCTTCCGATGAGTCTGACGGTTGACTTGACACATGCTTTGGAAATGCACTAAATAACAGAAGCCAAGAGTGGTGAGATCCAGCCAAGGGTGGTGTTTCTCATAAGCATTCTGGATGGCAATGCAGATTTCTGTATCATAAGGAGTCCAGGATCCTGCATCATTCTCCCATTCCCATACTATCCCCTTGCCAGGGGCAGATGATGGCTCAAAGAAACTGCGCCTTACTGGGCGAACAGTACCTGGCAAGAAAAGAAGAAATAAAAGTTATTCAAAAGATCCACACAACTTAATGAATAAAATATTCCACCATTCTAACAACTGCATGTGAAACAAAATAAGATATTGTTACTTCGATCTATTAAATTGTGCAAAAACAAATTTAGTATACATCTGACTCTTGTAGCCTTTTTGAAAAGCCCATCACAACAAAGACTGAATTTATGAAAGCATGTTTATAAAGCAGTGAATTTGACATTCACCAAACATTCACTGCAGTTGACTCTTCCAGGTGCAGGTATTTTAATTTGACAGTGATATATTCACTACCAGTGAATATATGGTGAAATCCACATTGACCACTGTATAAATAAGCCATTTAATATCAGCCATCACAGTGGGACAGGGTCTTTTTCAGAGATCCATTTGACTTGGTAAGTATCAACGATCAAAAAAGAAGTAATCCACTGAGGACAAGTACATGATAAGCAAGTCCTTACCAGCATGACACTGTGACATTGCACCATGGCTGCAGTAGCGCATACAGTTAATGGCAATCTGTAGGATACTGTCTCAGAACTACAATAGATGACAAATAAAACATTGGCTGCCAAATCCATTTCTGCTGATTTAGTCCTCTAACCTTAAAACTGAGTCCTGCAGCATTGCTGCATTTTTTGTTTTAATTCTGATGCAAAGGGTGCATCATCTATATCTTGGAGTAGAGATGGTAGAATTTGGCCCTAGGCAAGGTGATAGTTTTGCGCCCCCCCCCCATCCCTTTAAATTACATTGATAAGGGCTGAAATAGCCACAGAGAAGCCACATCAAGCAGAAATCCCAAGCAGTGTTGTCAGCACTGCCCATTTCTCTTAAACTGGATTACAGACCACCACATCCTATCCTCCTCTCCTTAACATATGGGGGAGGCATTCTGTAGTCCATGTGGAGAAGATGTATTTCTCTTTACTTGCAGTTTTTGTGTTTTTTTTAACTCAGTACAGGAGGTCCACACTTAATAGGCTTACTTTTTTTGTTTAAAACTGCTCCTGTTCATTCATTTGTTTCTGGTCTCGAATCGCTTCCCTCCCCTCCTGTTTGTGGGTGCCTCCTTTACCAAGCAGGTTTCGAAGGAGACACCAGTGCGTGCACGCACCGGGATCTGAGCCGAGCTATGTGCGTCCACTTGAACACACAGAGGGGAATTTATCTACAATACAATACAATACACTATATTGCCAAAAGTATTGGGACACCCCTCCAAACTATTGGATTCAGGTGTTCCGTGAAATTTCCTTGCTACTAAATATGTCACGTATAAAAAAAAGGGGGTTCACAACCTAGGTTGTAGTGGGGTTTTAAAGAGGCGTCAGATGGTAATCGATTTGATATAAATTTATTACAATTCATTAAAATATTTATATGACAAAGTTAAAAACATTCCAATAGATAAGCATGATTCTCAGTTCCTGATTCTTGCCTAATTCTCACAACTCATATATTTACATATTGTCTTTCATATTATACATCTAATTTTTCACATATTTCATGTGCAGTAATGAACTGCTCCAATTCCTCCAATGCGTTTTGCTTGTAAGCTTCCTCAGGGAGTTTTATTCCCGGCAAGAATCTGGTTATGAATAGATAATTCATTGTTTAGCAGTATTTCCATCAATAAACAATATTTTATAAATCTCTGTATTTTGTTCAACCGAACATATTTCCTCTTTGACATAGCTTAATTATGCAGCCACTTTCTAAATTTATAAATTCCACTACAACTGTGTGATATTAATCATTACATTCAACCACTGCAAGTGTGTTTCACATTAATCCCTCCATTTGTTACCCATAAAATCAATCTTTTATAGAGTGTCAAAGTTACCTTTTCAGTTTATGAATGTTGATTCCTCTTTGTCTCTTTTACCAGTCCTGTCTTGAATCTATCTCCATGTGTGTCCTCTGACTCTCCCTTCATGTTTGACTCCCCCGTCCTTATATGGGCATTCACCCCCCAATTAATTAGTCCACGCCTGAGCGGCGTGTGACATCACTGGGGGGGTGGCACCCAGGTGCAGCCAGAATGACCCGAGTCCCTGTGATACTTCCAGCGTTGGTCTGTTGCTAAGCAACATATGGGAGGTCCAATGGAGCTCAGTGCCCCTGGTTCCACCCCCTCCCAACGAATCTCCATAGAGACGGATACACACTGTCAAATGACAAATCGATCTATAGATCAGGGAATCAGCTTGCCCGGACACTTCCAGATGCCTATATGGCTCCACTACATGAATGGCTCCCCTCAGAACCCCCAGTTCAGGGTGTGTAGGTGCATATAGGTATATATGTATATCACATTAACAATTTTCAACAAGAACAGCTCCGCTGCATGAAAACTCTGGGGAGGGCTGGATTATTATCCTGCCTTCCTGGAAGTAGGTTCTTGGATTATCCCGAAGATTGGGGTGAGTGGCTGCATAATTAAGCTATGTCAAAGAGCAAATATGTTCGGTTGAACAAAATAAAGAGATTTATAAAATATGGTTTATTGATGGACATACTGCTAAACAATGAATTATCTATTCATAACTAGATTCTTGCCGGGAATAAAACTCCCTGAGGAAGCTTACAAGCAAAACGCGCTGGAGAACCCCCTTTTTTAACAAATGAATTATTTGGGGTGAGATCACCTGGGCTAATACACTGGGTAGTGCCATTTGTATCTAAATATTCCACGGTCAACTGTTAGTGGTATTAAAACAAAGTGGAAACAACTGGGAACAACATCAACTCAGCCACGAAGTGGTAGGCCACATAAAATGACAGAGCGGGGTCAGCAGAAGTCGCCAACTGTCTGCAGAGTCAATAGCTAAAGACCTCCAAACTTCGTGTGGCCTTCAGATTGGCACAACAACAGTGCATAGAGAGCTTCATGGAATGGGTTTCCATGGTCGAGCAGCTGCATCCAAGCCTTACAGCACCAAGTGCGAAGCAAAGCATCGGATGCAGTGGTGTAAAGCACATTGCCACTGGACTCTAAAGAAGTGGAGACGTGTTCTCTGGAATAACGAACCACGCTTCTCTGTCTGGCAATCTGATGGACTTGTCTGGGTTTGGCGTTTGCCAGGAGAACGGTACTTGCCTGACTGCATTGTACCAAGTGTAAAGTTTGGTAGAGGGGGATTATGGTGTGGGGTTGTTTTTCAGGGGTTGGGCTTGGCCTCTTAGTTCCAGTGAAGGGAACTCTTAAGGCATCAGCATACCAAGACATTTTGGACAATTTCATGCTCCTGACTTTGGGGGAACAGTTTGAGGGATGGCCCCTTCCTGTTCCAACATGACTGCACCCCAGTGCACAAAGCAAGGTCCATAAAGACATGGATGAGCAAGTTTGGGGTGGAGGAACTTGACTGGCCTGCACAGAGTCCTGACCTCAACCTGATAGAACACCTTTGGGACGAATTAGTGCGGAGACTGCGAGCCAGGCCTTTTCGTCCAACATCAGTACCTGACCTCACAAATGCGCTTCTGGAAGAATGGTCAAACATTACCATAGACACACTCCTAAACTTTGTGGACAGCCTTCCCAGAGGAGTTGAAGCTGTTATAGCTGCAAAGGGTGGGCCAACTCAATATTGAACCCCTCGGACAAAGACTGGGATGCCATTAAAGTTCATGTGCGTGTAAAAACAGGTGTCCCAATACTTTTGGCAATATAGTGTATGTAGGTTTACAATTCCAAGCTCTTTGTATGACTGGAATAAGAGTGGCAAGGAAGATGGTTAACAATTTTTATCCACTCTTCTATTCTCTTCTATCCACATTTTGTATCCACTCCACTCTTTTATCCACTCTTCTATTCACCTTTGTGCAAGTGACCAGACACTAACAATTACCATCTCATAGCCACACACTGAAGAGTAGATGGACATGTTGGGTAATAAGGAGAATGTACAAGGATCTTTTGATGTCTTCCCTGTGTTTGGGCACATTAAGGCCTCATTCACACAGGCGTGTTGCCCCGTACATCGTGTAGGGCCACTTTGTTATGCACTTGGAGCTTGGGAAGTGGGCAGCTCATATAACTCTATGTAGACACAGGAGCTGTGCCCCAGGCGGTGTATGGCCTTAGACACAGATATGATGAAAATAAATCTTTATTAGTTAAACAGATAAAATACAAGTATTGTAAAGTTCCAAACTGGTCAGACTATCATAACCCGTTGTCCTTCAGGAGTAAGTAGCTGCCAATGCACTGTTTACACATGTGATGTTTGTGTAAGATTGCACATAACCCCCAGCCGATATTCTTATTGTTGTTTTGATTATAATCAAACCTTGCTAAACAAGTCAGTCAAATTCCAAAGTATTACAAAGACATGTTTTGCTGGTCCCCCTGCTGCTATACGGTATTTACTGCTGTATTTAAAGCATGGGTTTCAAACTCAAATCACCCGGGGGCCACTCAACACATTTTTTTCTCTCATGGGGGCCGCTTGCCAAATTTTATACTTCAAAATAAAATGTAACTATATCCGGTATGGTACTACAGACACCAATACACACACAATAAGGCCCCATTCATATCTGTAAGTTTAGGTGCAATTAGGGATTCCTGCATCAGGAACTTGTGTTTTCCTGCAGCAGGAATCCCTAATGCATGAGCCTGTGCATTGCACCCACAATCCACTTTGCAGTTTTCAATGCAAAAAAATTAATATATTCACATTTTTTCCTTTAATATTGTGTGTGCCTTTATGTATTTTTTTTTAAGGTGGAGTATGCCTTTAAGAATGGTATGAAATGCTATGATAAGTAGTCATCCACAGGATTGTGCATAGACAGACAGATAAGATAGATAGATAGATAGATAGATAGATAGATAGATAGATAGATAGATAGATAGATAGATAGATAGATACAGGTGAAACTCGAATAATTAGAATATCGTGCAAAAGTAATTTCAGTAATTGCTGCAAAAGGGGCCCAAACCAAGTACTGAGTACATATGCATGCTTGTACT